CTCCCAGCATGCCCAACTTCAACACCTCTACCCCCACAACCTCCAACATCAACCACCCCATCCTCCTTTATTAATACCTTACAGCCTTATAGCCCACCTCTCCATAACACTACCTCCATCAACACTACTCCATCTTCGTCACGCCCTCGCCCTTCTACCACCCCTATCTCTAAAACAATCTTGAATACTCTCTTCAGTGCAGCCAAATGGGACCGATTTTTCGTGATCCCTCCCACAGCTCCCTACTCTGACAACACCCTTCTCTTCCAACAATGCCTCCAAAAACAAGTAGGTAAAGTCTCTTTCCGTTGCCGACCCGACCGCTCCCGTCTTGTAACAGCAACATCCGAAAACCAAGCCATAGCATTAACAAAACTAACTGACCTATATGGTAACCCCATCCAACCCTCAATACTTGCACCGGAACAGTCTCAATCTCACCAGCAAATTGCCCAATCTATGACAAAGATTGGTCAGATTGTGGAGAAGATCTACTTGCCTGTCTCACAGACTACGATGCAACATCAGTACAATGCTATTCCATCCCCCCCAGAGGTCATCGAAAGAAACCCACTAACATAGCCAAAATTACCTTCCGTAGACATGACATTCCCTTTAACGTCTACATAGGAGGAGAATCCCTCCCTGTTCGTCCATACCAACCTCCTCCACGTCAGTGCCAAAATTGTTGGCGTCTAGGACACCCAGCCAAACACTGCCGTTCCACAGCCATATGCCCATTATGTGCCCAACCTGGCCATACCCGATCTAACTGCTCCGCACAATCACGCACATGTGCCAACTGTGGCGGCCCCCATAATGTATTTTATAGGGGCTGTCCCACCTACAAATTTGAATCTGAGGTAACAACTCTCAGATTCAAACTCGGACTCACACTGCGTGAAGCCAGACAGGAAGCACGTCGACGTGGATTCTCTCTTACTCCTTACTCCAGTAATACTGCTCATTCTAACACTTCTCCTAAACCCACCCCTCCTACATCTAACCCCCCCACTTCTACCTCCTACCTTCCCCAGTCAAACTCTTTTGCCATCCTAAATCCAGAAACTCCAATCTCTACTACAGATACTCCAATCACCACTACAACCCCAACACCTTCCCCTCTCCCTCCTCGCACTCCCCGTAACAGACAGAACAAACGTTCCACCCCCTCTTCCCCTACCACACAGTCACCCCCACCATCCTTTGCCCGTACTCTTGAGACACCAGTCCTCTCTTCCCCCCCTCACAAGAAATCCTTTATCCCCCAAAACTCCCCAACCAACTCCACAGAAGAAACTATTGAAAATATTCAAGATTACTTAATGAAAACCGACACTCAACCTACAACTCCTGCTCCTTCCACACTCCAAGTAATTGCTGATATCCATCCTCCTCCTAACGATATCCCCCCTACACCCTACCCTCCTACCCCCTCCCAACACAGCCCATCCCCCCTGACCCCAACCCTGCCCACATTAACTCTCCCACCATCCCCTCTATCCCTTCCACTCCCTCCTGGATACACACGTGAATCCCTTATGTCACAAGTATCCCCTTCCTCAGACCCTCCATCTCCTAATACCCCTCCTGATAGAACACCAACTCCCACACCTCTCCCATCTCAAACCTCTCAGTCCTTATCCCACCCTCTAGCTGCTTCCCCTTCAAATTCTCCAACACGTACTACAATCTATATCACTAAATCAACGAAAGTATATCTATCCTTCATTGGAATATTCGCGGTTTCCGCTCCCACAGACCTGACCATCATATCCTTTCCTCTTATAACCCATCTATTGTATGCCTTCAAGAAACCTTTCTTATGCATACCCTTTATCTAATATAACACCCGACCTTAACCCTTTCACTCACTAATTCCTTTGCCCAGCTTAGACAACTAATCACTAACTCAACCACCCTTCACTAACATTAACTATAGTGCTACATGACCTTAGATGTCTAGCACATTTATCTTGCTTTTAACCATTAACCATTAACCATTCTATGCAGCCCTTTTCCACAGCTCGCCGCCGGTCAATGGTATGGCAATGGGGGAGAAGGAGGGAGTGTGTAAGGGTGAAAAGGGAGGGAAAAGGTGTGTCGTCTGTTAACGTAGGCCTATGTATTTCTAACCTTCATTTTGTCCTTGGGATAATTATGGGCCATTAATCAACTCAATTTACTGCAAATTAATCATTATTGGGGTCCTAGAGTCATAGAAGTGTTCAAGATACAAAAGGGTTAATGTTGCCGTCTGCTTCAAATCGTATTGTAAAAACAAGATTTTGCAATAGGTTATTCTTAGTCACATTCTCAGTAACTTCTTTTTTTTAACATCAGATATTATTTTAGATTTAAAAAAAATCTTAATTATGTAAGATCCTTCTAATGTTCATTAAAGACCTTGAGAGCTGTCATATATTTCCAAATAAAACTTAATTTGAAGTATAACAAATGTTGAAATAGTTTTTTTTAAATATATATATATATATATATATATATATATATATATATATATATACATATATATATATATATATATATATATATATATATATATATATATATATATATATATATATATATATATATTTATATAGACAAATTAATTGATAATTTTTTTGACTCCATGAAGGTATATGGAAAAAGATGATTATATAGTGAATATATGGTCATATGTTTCTTGTTTTATTTCTTACCAACAGGAAATATTACAACATAGTTATATAAATAAAATTCATGAGTGGAAGTGAAAGAGAGGGAGTGAGAGAAAAGAAAAGAAAAGATAAAGAAGAAAAAGAAAGAAAAAAATTTAATGCTGACTCACATAAACGGAAATTAAGTCGATTATCTGAGTTGCAGCCGTTTCTCCTTTCTTCGATCGCGCTAAGAGGCTAAAAATCTAACCTAGTAAAGTCTAACCGACCTTAGCAGACCCTAGTCTAAGCGTAATCTATCAAACATTAATATTTATTAATGTTATTTATATATTTTTGATAATTTCAACCAGCGAGAAATAGCCATCACATTGATACATCTTTCACACACAGAAAATCATAAAGTATATATATGAACAGATTTTGCAACTTGCAAGAATATTAAATAAATTTTTTTGATAATGTCAACACACACATAATGACACACAGCCTTAGTCTATAGGTCCTGTACCTCGCCACCACTTCCTTCGTGCTAGAAATAGTCGAGTTCCATCTCCAGTAAGGCTTGGAATCCCAAACACTAGAGCAGTAAAAAGATTCCTTAGCCCACCGAGCCGTTTAGTAACAGACCTCAGAAATAGGACTCTTTATTTTAACTGTATTATTTTCAGTGTATTTTGAAATTAGTAGAAGTTGATATATTGCATAATTCACTTCTTTTCTCTCTCTCTCTCTCTCTTTCTTTCTTTCTAAGTGATTTTACATGACCCTTTTATGTAAATTTGAAGAAAAGAAAACCATTCTTTAATTCTTTACTTTTTTTATTATTTAATAATGTTATTATTATTATTATTGTTATTATTATTTTTATTGTTATTATTATTATAAAGGTATTAATAGCAGTACTAATAGTAAAAGGTTAAATAGAGTTGAGGTCAGGTAGGCTCCATAATTGACACCTTAGTGACTAGGCTTTACCCAGTGCTTCGGAAAAAATGTAATGTTCATTTTAGTTTTCTTTTGTGCTTTGTCGTTATGCCAGCTAGATTAGTAGACCTCGTAATCTCACCCAATTTCCTTGTTCTTTGAGTTGAGTTTTTGGGAATAAATGTTTGTTATTTTATTGATGCTGTCAGTATCAGTGCTGTTATTTTTATTACAAATCTTATGATCATTATAATGTCATTAGTATTACTAATAGGAATATAAGACAAAGGGGGAATATTTCCAAAATTCAAGGGAAAGGTAAGCAAGTGAGGTAAAGAATACTAGGAATTGGTTCCTTTGTGACTAAATACTTGTTGATTCATCTGTGTGACTTATAGAGCCATCTATGTGTGAAGACAATTGAACCAAATCCGACAGGCATGGCATGTACGTACATGCCATATCCACTGTAAGGTTACTTTATTAATTGTTTTTACACTTAGATTCCTACACTTTTACTAAGTCACCAGTGAGCCAATTACAAGTACTGCCTGTCTTGCCTGTTTACCCCTTTCCTTGATTTTCATAAATATTTTAAGTTATCTTGTATTGCTATTTGTAAGGTCTATAACATTATAGTAATTATATTGTCTATAATAAGAGTTAACACCACCAATATTCATAGCATTAGTAAAAAGAAAAAAAAAAAAAAAAATTTACCACCAATTCAAGGAAAGGTGAAATCAGGTAAGCGCACAAGGTCTACTAATTGGCTCCTTTGTGGCTAAGTACTAGCAGAGCCTCTATGTGCAGAGACAGTTCACAGAACAATAATAAATGAGCACAATATTTTTCCAGCAGCATTGAGTTGATAAATAAAACGCATAGTGAGTGTGACATGTCCCTAAGTGCCATCTCTGGTGGCATCAGGCAAAGTGGTGTGGGAGCCATTTGTCTGTTAAAAATATTGATAAAACAAGATTACAGTGGATGGTGAATATGTAGATTATGGGAAAATAATATGTATTTTGTTTAAAAGGTTACCTTATATTAAGATGAATGTGCAGGTGAACAGTATCAGTGACTTTACTGTTTATTAAGGTTTCACTTTGTATATTAACATTTGTCTTATGTATGTGTATATACTGTCTTGAAATTCATTTGGCCTTAGTTGGCCACTAGGTGAATTATTCTGTCATTTTCTTGATTTTATTTCCTTTTATTTAAAACAAATGTTCGCCTAATCTAAAATTCTTTCTCTTTAATCTTCCTTTGTCGGTTTATCTTTCTTATACTTAATTTATTTTTTTACTCTCCTATATGTTTTCCTCTCTCATCATCTTTATCTCACTCCTTTATACATACTTTGCAAAATGAACGATAATTTGACACACCTTGCAATCCCTCACACAGCGGAAGGTATGCCTCTTAAAATGCCATCACTTTCCCCCACGATGATGGAGGGAACCATCGTCAAGTCGCTTAAAAAGGAGGGAGACCCCATTCAGCCAGGAGACGCCCTGTGTGACATTCAGACAGATAAAGCTGTGGTGACGATGGATACCGAGGAGGAGGGCATCCTAGCCAAGATCCTGGTACGTTGAATGCCGGCGATAACTACTGTAGGGAAGGTGATTTTGTGTTTTGTGTGCAAGTAGGTGAAGGTGGTTGGAGCCGGACATCAAAGTATTTATTGTCGTTCTTAATAGTATTATTATTATTATTGTTGCCTTTCAGCTTTGTGGCTACAGGTGCCGAGGTAGTAGCAGCTGCCTTCATTATCTGTCTAAGGCTTTATTTCATAGTGTTTGACTGTAAAGAATTTTTATCTCTTTATTATACTGCAATTACAGCAGGACTTTTTGGTTTTGGTGGAGACGATGAAGGTGGATCTTTCTTGGACAATTTCTCTGAAGCACACAGCCATATGGCAGGAATTGATAAAGCAGAGACTACAAAGAAGAGCAAAGTTCAAGTTGAAACACAAGAAAAGATAAGTTACCCAAAGGACACCATACAAATGAAATGCTCTAGAAAGACTGAAGTTGAAGAACAACACAGAAAGCAGATAATGAGAGGGGAGGTCAATGCAGAAGCTAAAGAAACTGTCAGTGAAGCAAAACAGGAGGATGAGGCAAACCAGCCCTGGATCAAGGACCACAAAGAGCAACCCAAGAAGGCATTTAAATGGTATGAAATTATATTAATGGAAGGTCACGGAATGGCTCAGGTGAAAAGTGAACCTTCACATGAAGTGAAAGAAACTCCCCTGTCTGCAAAATTAGTAGAAGAGAGTACAGACTCATTGCAAGTACTAGATAAGGATTTGTTTGCAAAGGAGAGGAAGCAACATGAGGCTGCTGAAATTGAGTCAGAGTCTACTGTGAAAGCATCAGATACTGTGAGTGGTGAGAAACAACTTCCAGAAGATTTAAGTGATGCAGCACAAAGTGCTCATACAGTAGAGCAATTGGTTGCTCTTTCAAGAACACCAGAGGTCATAGATGATGTAACAGTAAATGTGGAAGCAGAAAAAGCTATTCCTCAAGAATCTGAGTTTGTCCATCACCAACCGGAATTAGAACCCAAATTTGGACCAATGAATGTTGCCAAATTAGACTTTGCTGAAACCCAAGTTCAGGAGAGAGAGAAATACTTAGACACTGAAGATGAACTTACCTCTTGTCAGAAAGAAAATCTCCAAGAAATAGGTTCTACTGCTAGTACAATTGTGATGGAAGATGACTCTACCCTAAAGGAATCTCATGTCCTTCATGAGTACCCAGAGGAAAGAGAGACAACCTTGATAGTGCCCTTAGAAGCAGCAGAAACTATACAGCCTAATTCTGTTGACCTATCGGGGGAACATACTGAATTGTAGGAGGAGAACCTTCAAGTCTTTGGAACTGTTGTACAAGAGGTGGCACAGTCAATTGAGGATCCTTTTCAGAATGTTGATATTCATGAATATTCTTCAAAGGAGTCACAGACTACAGGTCAGAGTCTTGGAAATATTGAAGCTAGAGACAAGGAGTTGCAGGACAGTGAGCCCGAGATTATAGAAGGTGACTATACCCTTGAGCAGCTGTTTGCATCCGATGGTACAGATGACATCGAAGGAAAGAGGGAAGGAATAGCTTTTCCTGAGGATTCTGAATTTGTCCATCACCAGCCAGCATTAGAACCCACATCTGGACCCAAGAATATTGCCAAGTTAGATTTTGTGGCTGTTCAAAAGCGAGGGACATACATAGACATTGAAGATGAACTGACTTCCTGCCAGAGAGAAAATCTTCAAGAAATAGGAACCACAGAGACTGTATTTCTCCAGGAAGATGGATCTGGCTTGAGTGAGTCCATTGCCCTTCATGAATACCCTGAGGAAAGAACAACGACCTTGATTGTGCCTTTAGAAGCAGTCATCACCAAGAAGGTGGATCCTGTTGACATTTCTGGAGAACTCGCAGCACTGCAAGAGGAAAACCTACAAGCATTTGGATCTGCTGTGCTAGAAGAACCACAAACATTTGAGGATCCACTTCAAGGTGTTGATATCCACGACTACAGCTCAAAAGAATCAGAGAGTTTGAGTCAGCTTGGTGAAAATATGTCAAGGAATGAATCACAAGGAAGTCCCACTTATGGTGATAGAGGAACAGTCAAGCAGGAACAGGACAGAGCCACTCCCTCCCCTACCTTAACACCAGACACCTGGTATGCTGTCTGGGTAGTGCAGTGGTATAATGGGCTGTTTGCTTTGGGATTATGGCATAGCATTTCAAACATATTCTGCCTCTCTTGTTGTAACCTGTAAAGTTTTTGCTTTGCACTGGACACTTGATATTAGTCATGCAACATGATCCCACTGTAATGCATTGCTATAATTGACATCTATATAGACATACTTCATATATTTGATTGTTTGTGTTGGGTGCATGGTTTAATCTTAAGTTTAAGAGGTGATACAAAGCAAAAAAAGTGCAGTAGCTGTTTACCAGTGTTGCAACTGCACTGCCCAGACTGCCCTGGTATGAATTGCTTGGGAGTAAATCTTTTGATTATCAGGGTTTTGTAAAGAGAAATATCTTTATTCAAGGGCGTGGAAGTAAGAATGTTAAAAAAAAACAGTTATGGAAGTAATTGAAGAATTTAATTTGAAGTAGGTGTACAGATCTTGTCTTGTATAGTATTGTTTGATATTGTGAAATGGATATACTTTATTTTTATTATATAGATTATACAATCCAGGAAGAATAACACTATTTATTTGTGGGTTTAATTGTTCTTAGAAGAAAAGTTCAATTTTGTACTTTTTCAATTTTTTCCTAATTTTTCATACCCATAGATCTTATATTCATTTTGTGTCATGCCAGGACATTTTGGTTATTGTTTTTTATGATGACATTTTTTTTGTACTACTTATTGATGAATGTACTTTTAACTTAGTCACTGTTTCTTTGTGTAAAGTTTTCCAGTGATTCTACTGCTTAAGAATTTAGGTTTATGTAAATTAAAGTTACCTAGAGTAATTGTTAGTGCTCAAGCGTGAAATAACAGGAAAGATAATGTTGTCTACTTTTAAAAGAGATTGTAAGATGGTTTAATGAAGGTAATAGAAACAGTGATTATCTTAATGTGTGTTTATTTGTGTTTCTTTATTTGCTTAAGCTAGTCTTTTTTTGTTTTTGTTTTTGTAAAATCTAGAAAAAAAAATCAAGAAAAATGAGTAACACTCATTTATCATGATATTCTACCATGTTGTTATGGGTGATCATAATTAAGTACTGTTTGTATGTGTATAATAGAATCTTGATTTTCTTCTACTTCTTCTTTTTCTTGAATAACAGTGTCTTATAGAGACTTACTGATAATGATCTAATATTTATAAAATTTTTGATTTGTGGAGAATATGTTTATCAAGAGCTTTCTCCTTTTCTTACACCAGGTACCTGAGGACACAAAAGATGTTAAAGTAGGAACTCTAATCGCTGTCTTAGCTCCTGAAGGAGAGGACTGGAAAACCATAGAAATCCCAGCTGGTGAGGAGTCGGCAGCTTCTTCAACTGCCGCCGAAGCTGCTCCTGCTGCAGCAGCTGCAGCCGTGGGTGGCCATGCTCATGGGTAAGCAGGAATTATGTTGTTTTTCTTCTGAAGGAGTTAATGTCTTTTTCCTTGTCATTCTTTTTTTTTTTTTTCAGTTTTTCTAATCTCCACTCGTGTTTCTTCTTTTACTTTCTGTTTTTCTTTCTTTCTTTCTTCCTTTTTTTCTCTTTTTCCTTTTAGTCCATATCCTACCTGATTTCACCTTTCCTTGAATTGGTGGGAATATCGATTGTGTTATAATTATAATTACTATAATGTTATAAACATTAGTAACAGCAAAATAAGATAACAAAAAAAAAAAAAAATTGTAAATCAAGGAAGAGGGTAAATGTGTAGCCATCTATGTGTAAAAACAATTAATATAGTAAACTCACAGAGGGCATGGCATGTACGTACATGCTATGCCCGTCGGCATTGGGTTAAGATAGGGTGTTTGTTATTTTGAAATTAAATATCCAAATTTAAGATTTTTGACTCCAGCTCCACCATATCAAGAATTCTGATGATAGATCCTTGTTGATTGGATGTTCATTTTCAGCAGTTAATGTTGATTCATGGGATTTTTGTCTTCAGGGAGAATGAAAAATGAATGTTAATGAATATGGTGGGAAAAGCTGGCATGGTCTCCCTTTTCTGCTTATCCTGGAAAAAAAAAATCAGAAAAGAATCCTTAAGTTTTGCAGGTTTTCAGTTTTCATATATTTTCAGTACAAGTTTCAGGCATTACTGAAATGTTGATTTGGGAAGATAACACATCAAATATTAGAATGTTTAAGGAATCACATTCTGGATTAGTTTTTGTTGTCTAGCATCAAATTTTGTGATTTTATTTTTTCAAGAAACCAAGAAAATTATTTATAAAGTAAATGAATATGAAATGAAAAAGCACTTGACGGCTGTAATTACCATACCATTAATCCAGACATGGCTGATTAGCTTTTAACCAATATATAAATATATCTACACCAAAAATTACAGAATTTCATTACAGTCCGTGGCATAGATTTCAGAGATCAGATTTTTAAAAATTTTCATTCAAGCTTGATAAAAAACAAAGTATTGAACATTTTAAAACACAGCTTCTGTACCATATACACGAACAGAAAGAAATAATCCAGTGTTTTCTTCCACCTAAGTAATTACGGGCCCTCGGTGCGGCTGTTGCTGGAGCAGTATGGACTGACCGCTGAACAGGTGCCTCCTGGGGGTCCGTATGGAATTCTTCTCAAAGGAGATGTTTTGAAGTACATCAAGGAAAAAGGTCTTCAGCCACTCCCGGTATCTGCAGGTATTGTCTTTGTTGTTAATGTTTTTGTTGTTTTCTTGTGTAAAATGTCATATTCTTTTTGGTTTTTGTGTATATTTTGATTCATATTCTGGTTGTAGTGTGTACCCTTTGCATGTCATGTTTGTTTGTCCTCTTGTAATAGTCAGATACTACTTTTAAGATGTCTTGCATTATATTTTTGAAGGAATAAGGGAACTTTTATGCAAAAGCATCATTACTGTAATACTATACATTCCTCAAGGATTCAGAATGGTTTCACCTTTTTTATTTTTTCACAGTAAACAAAATTCAGTGTAGATAAGTCTTAGCTCTTGTTAATAGTTGTCAGTATTTGGAGTTTGAGTTTCTTGAATAAATTGGTTATTTTGTTGAATATCTTGTGCTTTGCTGGTTTTATAGGAATCAGGAATTCTCAGATAAAATGTTTTATATCATATATTAGCAATTCCTCTACATCAGTTCTTCTGGTCAGGTGAAATACTAGTGATCATTATTAATATTTCACTGACATGTCAAGTTTCAGACTAGCAGTTCAGAGAGGAAAAGTGTATTTCTTGTAAAATATCGTATTCAAATTTAATAATTAAATTTATTTTCTTCCAGTACCACCACCTGAAGTACCAAAAGCTGCTGCTGCTGCTCCAGCGGCACCAGCTCCTACGCCAGCTGTTCCAGCTCCTCCACCAACTGTTGGAGTGTCTGAGGATGGGTATGAGGATATTGAAGTCACCAGCATGAGGAGAACCATTGCTAAACGATTAACACAGTCCAAGGTAAGACCGATTAAAAAATATTAACCCTTAGGTCTGGATGACTCACTGACCAAAATACAGGCATTAGGATTATTTGAGTGGCCACTATGACAGGTGTGTGGCTCTTGTCATATATTTGAGGTGACAAGACTCCATCACTCCCCATTTTATTCTCTCTCTTCTTCTATATAAGTATTTCATTTGATTTACTTTGTCTAGGTGGTAATGGACTGTTTTCTTTACACAGATTCCTTATCAAATCTAGGTAGTCCATTACTCTGTACAATGATAGTAATGACGAACTTTCTTCTTCTTTTTTTCAATTTTCATTTTTCTGTTATACAACTTGTGCTACCAGTCACAGCGGGCAGGAATAGCTTCTTTAACATGGAAATACTCGTTTTTCAATGGAATTAATGCAAAAGCCCCTTCCTAAATGCCCACTGATTAAAATCAATCTCCAAGAGCTTTTTGCACTCATGATGATTCATTCCCGTCACTCCAGCCGAAATTTTTCTCATGACGGCATGTTCACACCATCCTGATCACAGGGGTTAAAAGTTCTATTATATTATTTGTAAGTTATATTAAACTGTTTATATGTTTATACAAACTACTTCAGTCTTTCAGGGTTATACACCCTAAATTCATTGAAAGCTGGCAGCAGAATTTTTGAAATTTTAAGAATGAGGATAAAAGTGATTGTGTTTCAGAATTCATGCCAATGTGAAATATTAATCCAAAGATTCATGATATATTTTCAGAGTGGAATTGCTCATTCATATGGCACTCTGGAATGTCAGTCAGACAAACTCCTGGCCTTGAGAAAACAATACAAAAACGAGGGGATGAACGTGAGTGTAAATGACCTCATCATCAAGGCAGTCTCCATGGCCCTTACTAAGTGTCCGGAGATGAACTGCGTCTGGCAAGGGGACCAGGTTAGTAGTTATTTCATGTTGCTGTAGTCTCTGTGTTTGTAAATAACAGCTGGTGGTAAAGGTCCCTTTCTTTTTCTTTTACAGTAAATTTGTTTATGTAAGGGAATTTGTAATATTTAAGCATAAATTTATATTTTGTGTTTTTTTTGTTTGTAAAAATATCTAGCACATTTAATTTTCATGTGAAAAGCATCTTTATATATTCTGTTGTATATTCCCAAAGTGTCTTAATTAATTTCAAAAAGAAAAAAAAAATATATGATAGAGCAAGTAAATTTCCAGCATTTATAAAACTGAGGATGACCTAAAAATATAATTGTATACATACTAGACTCCTGTAAATAAACCCCTTCATTTCAGCTTACATATGCCAGTCAAGTAGACATGAGTATTGCAGTGGCCACACCCACAGGCCTCATTACTCCCATTGTTCGTGGTGCAGATGTGTTAGGTATTGAGGAGATTGCAAGCCAAGTACGTGATCTAGCAACCAGAGCGAGAGAGAATAAACTGAAGCTGGACGAATTCCAAGGTGGAACTTTTACGTAAGTATCGGCTCTGGAGTTGAACATTTTCTATTTTTTTCTTTCTTTCTTTCTTTGTTCGTTTGTAGGAGTAAGTTGTAATACAATTAGGGAATGCCATTCAATTTATGTTTACTGTGTTTTGACTAAGAGTTGGCACCTAGAGAGATCAGCCTTTAATTCTGTATATACATGCAGGAAATTATTTCATTTATATGAGCTTGAAAGTCTGTAAGGAGGTGGCATAGGTCAATGGTTGAGTGCTGACTTTGCAATTGCAAGGCCCTAGATTTGCACCCAGTCAG